GTGTCGAGAAGACAGAGTTCTTGAAGGTCCAACATCCTAGCAGGGATAACTCAATCATACCATTCCTCCCATTTTGGTCTCAATGTAGGCCAGCAGCGATATGGACGTTTTATCCTCCAGTTTCCCCAGTCAAGGCCACCCTTGTAAAGGAGGTAGTGATCTTCTAGACGCGGGTATAGGGCAGGAAGCTGAACAGGGGCTTCCCTGAAAATGGGTCCAAGCACAAACTCCCCTTGAGCATGGTGATGGGAAATGAGAATACGTCCGTCAACAGTGCTTCATTCACCAGCTTTGTACTTCTCACATTCTTCATTAATGATCCTCCTCAAAGCTACAGATGGGCTCACATGCTTAACAACTGGTACTTTCAGAAAGGAAAAAGCCATTGGTGAAAGGACGAAAGGGAAGCAAAGAGTTTGAGTATGGAAAGAGTAGAAAATTACAGTCAAGAGCAATAGGAGTGAAAGGGTTTGTTTTTGGACAAGTGAGTAGGTTCAAAAGTGAGAAGAAGGGGTTTTAAACCTTTCTGTCCAAAGTACCCAATCAGCCTAACGAGTCAAGCAAACCTGAAATAAATGATTTGATGGATTTTGGACTCATGTGGAATTAAAACTTTAGTTTTAGAATACAAGTGGTCCCAAGTCACAATCTCTTTGAAAGAGTAAGTTTGAGAGGGAAATTTATTTCAAAGACTCAGCTCGACTTTGAGAAACTGTAGTTGGCTTCGAAGCCATTTTTTGCCTTAAACGAAATTATAGTTAAGGTTTGTTTTCTTCGAAGGCTTTATAAGCATACTCCTAGATTGTCTTTGCAAGGTAATGTCCTTCGAAAGAGTCTTTGGAATGCTTATCTTGTTTAGAGTTGTGAATTCTGAAATAAGTAAGTACTTCGAAGCAAGATTGGTCAATTCGAAGCTGTGATTTATACAATTTAGGTTGACCAGATGATTGGAGCATAAAAACCTTAAGTCAAAAATGGACGCTCCTATGAGAAAATCCATGCTTCGAAGCACTTAAAGCCAGGCATCAAAGTAAGTTGGTTGCTTCAAAGTTGTTATTCACAGATTACACAAATAGAATAAGGCATAAAGCCATATTCGCCATGTAATCGATCATACAATTGGAATATAAAACCAGATCATGACAAATGATATTTTGAGAGCTCAGTTTTATTGATATGCAATATTTACATTGGGAACACCTACTTGGTTACATTCTCAATTTCATAAAAGTAAGGAATGGACAAAGTCACAAGATCATGGAACTTTGTCCAGCAAAATTCAATAAATACACTCTTTTCCTAACCTATCTTCTATCCTATCTAAATTTAGTTTGTCAAACTGATGACCCCTTAGTTGGAAGAAGAGATGCTGGGCCTTCAATTCAAATTATGTTTGTTTAAGAGCCTTGTCTATTTCATTCATTTCTCATTTCCCATGTACTTCATCCATAGTGGCATCTTCTCCAAACTCTAAGTTTGGTTCTTGAAGTTCTCATATTCTTCAAGAAGATTCTATGCCTCATATTGAATTTGAATACGAGTAGCAGAGGTTTCCTCCAGTAACCCACTAGTAATGGAAGCATTTGTGTGCCAGTTGAGCAGAAGAAGAAGTTGATCCAAGAAAGTATAAAGCTCTGCCTGGGCTATAGGGTTAAGGATGTGGCTTCGAGAGATAATATCACAAGACCGCAATAAGTTCTTGTGAGAAATATCATCTCAAAGGACCTCAAAGGATAGGTGGGAGAAAGCAACAAGCAGAGTCTGGGCTCTATACTGTTGGTAAGAAGTAGGAAGAACTGGGGCTTGGTAGGGAACAAAATGCAGGCTCTCAAAAAGGGTGAGTTTCAATTCTTTAATCCAATTAGGATAAGAAGGCAAGGAAGGAGTAGTTGGGTTCCTCCAAATGACGATGGGAACTTAGGCTTTTTCACACATTCTAGCCAAAGTTTTGCTTTTTTGGCTAAGAATAAGGGACTAATTCCCAAGGACTCAATAGGGTATGGAGTATTTCGCACTATTTTGGACGACAAGGTGGAAATATACCATGCCGAAAGCAAGTTGTCCTCAAGGCTACGAAGACGGTCAAGTGGGACGTATGGATATACCATGGAGCTGCTCATGGAAGGATGGATTGCAATGGGGTCATCGAATTTAGGGAACCGATGGTGGATTCGCTCCCTTGTTTGAGGTTGAGTGAGTGTATGCCAAGTTCCCCAGCCAGTGCTGTTAGAAGTGTTGTTAGAGGAAGAGAATGTAGCTTCATCTCATGCAGAAAGTTTGGAGGCAAAAGAGGAGCTTCCAAGATCCATTTTTGTAAATTCTTAGTCCAAAGGTTTGTAGTTGGCAGATTCTAGGTCCAAAGGTTAATAGTTTGCAAAAGCATCCATAACTTGAATAAATGGAGAAGGATAAGTGTGGCCAATAAATGCATGAAGGTTCTTTCGAGGACGAACATCATTGTCTAATATCTCTTCGTATGTACGATTGATGGAAAAAAAAAAAGTTTGTTTGTCCATGGGAATTGTACTAGCCCTTTCGAATACCCAGATAGTGGAAAATGTTCAAGCACAGGAAAGAATTTAATGTAGATCAAGTGCTTTATTGATGGAAGACGGCTGCATTTCTAAGCAGATGCAAAGTCCATACACGTCCTACGACGTGGACAAAGTGCATTGAGTCCACTAATATCACCAAGTATTGGGTGTATTAGTGCAGGGGTAATGTTAGCTATATATTTTGTAAAAGCTAATCGTAGCTTGATATGTAGTACATGAGGGGCAATTTGGGGAGTTGATATAGGTCTCCAGTCAAAGATAGACACGTGGCAAGTCATATTGGTTATAATGGATCTGCGCAGCACTTGAATAGCTAGAAGGTGCAAGATGACGTGGCACAACGGTTACTCATGAATTTAAATTCAAATCCAAGAGGGAAGCCTAACTGCAAGAATGTCGTAGTGAAACTGACTGTGAGAGAGCATGATCAGCAATTATGGAAAGACATTTCGACGGTTGAAAGCCCATTTCGACAGTTACCCTTGAACAGTATAAATAGAATGTCCCAAATTGAAAAACCCAGACTCAAATCTAGAAACCAGTTTATTTACTTTATATTTCTTTCCAGTTTTACATTTTCAATTCTTTACATTTTCAGCATTTCAATCCCTGTACTGCACTTCATTTTCTAGAACTAGTTCTCAAGTAGTCATTGATGTAAATCTTTTCAAGACTGGATCATTTCATTATAAGTTCTTATTCACTCAATGAAATTTAGTTTCTAAATTGTTCTGTACTTGTTATTTCTTATAAAAAATTTCCTCAAACAAGCCACTAGTAAAAGTCCTTTTCATTGAGGCTGAAAGAATTTCAACATAATCGTCTGATAATTGATTGACAATTAAAATTCTGTAAGAACTGATTGATCCTTACTGTCACGATTAAAATTACATAGTTAACCTTCGAAAGCCAAAAAAAAGTCAACAATCTTGAAGGTAAATTTGTTGTTAATCCAGTGCACATCATTTAGTGGGAGAAAATATTGTCTTTTGGAAAACAGTATTTGTAATGCTACTCGAAACGTTCTCAATCTAGTCAAAATCTCGATGGCATCGTCATCCAGAAATATTCACACCAACATATTTCATTTGCATTTCTCTTCTCAAATTCAAGATTCTAATAAATATGTGAGAAGAAAAATGCTATCACCCTAAAAATATCAATGTGAAGTTTACTTCAAATGATGTATAGTTTTGCATGTCAGTTGTTGGTTTGGTTAAGAATCAATTAATTTAAGGGTAATGTTAAGGATATTAAATTTTTTACTAAATAAATAACCAAATGTCTTTCATAGATGTGTGAATCCTAAAATGTGAACCCTACATCTATGTGAAACATTTGATAAAAAATTTAAAACTTATGGCATTTTTCTTAATTTAAACCCAACTCGTTGTTTGTCATATCAGTATAAATAAATTTAGTGATGATATTTTAAAAATTTCTATCATTACTTATATGAAAAACATGCAAACTATGAAAATTTTCCACAGTCATCATTCACTAGCTCATAATTTCATCCAGTTTTCCTATGTATCGGGAAAAGCAATCAATAATTTTACTCAAAATTTTTAATGTGCAGACAAGATTCATTTTATATATGATAGATAATACATTAAATTCAAATTTATACCATTTACTTTAATTTTTGAATAAAATTCTAATTAATTTTTTTGGTAGCTAGAATTATTGAATTTGCTTTGTCTATGATTAATTAGTGAAAAGCCCATTTTTAGGGGGCCATTTATCATTTAGTCAAAAATTTAATCTTTTTTTAGTAATAAAGATATGAGTTGAAAAATTGACTGCACCAAAACAAATGTCAAGAAATTAATCGAAAAAGTCTTCGGTGGTTGGTGGCGGTGGCAGTAAATTGGATAAATAGGTGATATTAAACAAATAGGTAAATAGATAAGTGATATATGTACAAATAATAAACATTTGAACAGATAGTTGCATAGATAGAAGACACGAGTATAGATAGTGAGACATTTGAACAAATAGTTACACATATAGTGACACGTATATAGATACTGAGACATTTAAACTGATAGACATATATGTTAAGTTTGAACAAATAAGTGTCTTTTTGGATAAACAATGCTCTTTTGGCCCAAAAAAATTAACCTTAGGCCTATTGACTTCGTAGTTTTAAAATTAACCTTTGACTTGAGTGTCTTTTTGTCTATATTGTATCTATTTTATAAGAATCTTCGTTTGGGAACAGACTTTTTTAGTAATTTTTTAGCTTTTTGGCTAAAATGTGATGTAAAAAAAACTAGTATGTTTGGGATGACTTTTTAATTTTTTACGAAAAAATGTACAAAAAATATAGAGAAAAATGAATCTTTGACTTTTTAGTATGACTTGTTGGTTTTTTAATTTTTTTAGTAACTTTTTGATTTTTTTGCTAAAAAAGCCCATTGTCAAACGAGACTTGAATATTAATTATTTATAAAAATGCATTCAATTAATTAGAGTTGACAAAATCTTTACACATCACTAAGAAATCCCTCAAGATCCTCTCTAGAGGTTTCATAAATTACCAAAGAAGGCATAGACACAAAGAAAGAGCTTTCATGGGTTTCCTTGATAATTAATGATATAAGGAGATAAAAATAAAAATAAAGAAACTACTACAGGCCAACTGAGAGTGGTTTTCTTGATGATCTATCTAACAGACTAAAGCCCATTTGAAGTGACCTCAATGATAAGGCTGGAACCACAAGATGAAGTGGAAGAAGAAGAGGATGGAGAGGTGGGTCCTGATGAATCATCCAAGTCTCTCACCATGAAATCATGGGCTCTATGCTGAACCAACCCAACTCTTCCACCTTTGCGAGCCTCCTGGCGTTCACTAATTTCATTAGCATCGTCGTCGTTTTCTGAACTTCGTTTCTTCAAGAATATGCGACAGAGAACCCAGTTTCCGATTTGGACCAGAGTCTTCTGGCAAATCCAAATCAAAGTTTAACTCAAAATAGACTTTCATTAGTGTCAACAAAATATAAATTTTCATTAATTTAAAATATTGAGACTTACAACTTTAGGTGGCTGGATTTGGGGTCCCAAAACCCACCCGGAAGCCGCTCATCGCCCGTTCAGGCCTTGTTAGGCTCAAGCCTGTGTCCAACTTGAACCCTCGGGCCTGGGCTTGGGATGTGTGTTTTTTGGGCAGGCCCAACTCGCCAGCCCGATCCAAGCCTACCTGAGGGCCAGCCCACTTGAGGACTAGCTTTATTTTTAAACTATCTTAGTGGGAAAAAAAAATAAAAAAACTATCGGACCCCGCGTAGGCCTAGTTAGGCCTGACCTTAGGCTCGAACCCAGGCTCAAGGCCCAAATTCCTCTAGGCCTGGGTCAAGATTTGGCTTGAGTGACCCGGCTTGGCTTGACCCTTTTTTTCGTGGGAACACGAGGCTCGAAGGTGGGCTGATCTAAAATTACACCCCTAGGCTGTATTGTCTCTAGTCTGGATATGGATCGGAGGGTATTATTTAGATCCATGGGTCCATCACATATTTCGATTTGATAATTTGAATTATTTATTTTATAGGTACTTAGTATATATCATTGATAAAAAAAAATTAGGTAAATTCGATAAAACTTGTTCAATTCATCACGTTTGTCACAACCAAAAAAAAAAAAAGATGTTTTATTTTTAAAAACACACTTGTCGTCTATTTTTATTTATTTTTTTTTTTCGTAACAAACGCAATAAGTCAAATCACTACAACATATAAGAGTTTTAGAGACTAAATATTTTGATCTTTAAAAGTGACGATTTCTATCGTCATGAGGATAGTTGCTAAAGGGTCGTCCCGAAAAGTTAAAAACAAGGCTTTTAGTGAATAGAGAAGCTGACCCTTTTTTTAAGATGAATAAATTACACTCCAGTGAAATTTTGAAAAAATAATTGCATATTTGTGAAAGAAAATTTTACAATTTTAATTATTAATATGTATAAAATTTCTTGTTAATTTATAATTACTTTTTAAAATTTCACTAATTTAATATTTTCTTTATATATATATATATATATATTTAATATAAATCCTACTGTTTTCATCATAACGGTATAAAACACACGTGCCATAATGTAAGATTTTTTGTCCTAAAAATTGTGGTTCTACTGTGTCCTGATATTAAATGCATTTTCAACTTTCCCATTATGTCTTGATATTCTCTCGAACTACATGTTCACATGAGAATGCATCGGGGATATGGGATTCCGTTTATTTTTTTCTTTATTTTTTTTTTTTTTTTTTTCTTGACATTTTCTGTTTTTAAAATTTAAATTTAAACTTGAGGGATTCGTGGAGCTTATTATGAGTCCCGCTTTGATAATCTGAAATATTTATTTATATCGTCTTTAGTTTATATCATCTATAGAAAAAATAAAATAAAACAATCCAATACTCGTAATATTTTCATTTTATCACGTTTATTTTCAAAAAATAAACGATAACTATGTTTTTTTTTAAAATAAACCATTTGTTTTTTGAGAGACAAACATGATAAAATTAAAAAGTTACATTTATCAAATAGATCTAATTTATTTTTTCTAAGATCATACATACGAAGGACTCTATAAAATGAATAATTCGAATAACCGAAATAAGACCTAAGATGAGCCTTACAGATCTCTCAAGCTCTCTTAAATTCATATGTGAACTTAAGAAAAGCAAAACTTTTTTTTTTCTTTCTTTTCTTTATTCTTTATTTTTTATTTTTTATTTTTAAATTTAATAGGTTCATCCAGATTAGATAACTTAAAAAAATTAAAAATTAAATTTTTTGTGAAAATAATTGTAAGTCCTTAGCATATATTTGGCTTATTTTTTAATTTTCAAAAACTGCTAGTCTAGACGGATTAAAAAAATAAAAAATATATTCACCGGGCGCCCAAAAAATAAAAAATAAAAAACAGTTATACACTGTTGCCAAAGAAAGAAGGTTATGATGAACTAATTACTTGAGTTGAATCCTTGTGTTGAGTTGCTGCTGCTGCTGAGTTGACATTGACAAGGCGATATTCATGCATGATCCAAAGAGTTCTTGAACCATTTGGAGGCTTCCCTGTATGGAAAACCAGTGTCTTTCTCATCCCAATTAAATCATCTTTTCTTGTTGGAGATGTAATCTTTTTGTCAGGGCCAGTTGCTTTCCAATAACCAGAGCTGGTAGTCCTGTTGTTACTTCCTTTTCCATTCTTCTGGTACTTGCCTTCCTTCTTTGTAAACAAGTACCTATCCTCCTCCCTACCATCACCTGCAAATTTGGGTTTAACAATCTGAATTACAAATCATCAAAAGACAACATTAAATTAAAGGACATGCATTTTTGATCAGCAAAGTAAGAATTTTATAAAAAAACATGAAATTAAAAGTATAAGGAAATGATGAAATGCACTGAGAGAGATATTCAGAGAGTGCAAACTCATTTACTACTGCTACTCGCATCCACACAGTCAACCTCTCGGCCGAAGTGCATGTCCAGCTATTTTGATGATGCAACTAGACAAAAATTCATGCAAGAAAACAAAATATATATATTTATGAAGTATTGCAAATTTGAAATGTGCGGATCAAATTCGTTTTGGATTAAAGTAGATATACCAGCAGGCAAATCCCAAGGATCATAATTGGAAAAGAGTGAGGATATCAGGGACAACTGAAGTAGGCAAAGGAGAGGAGAATATTTTACTAGTGAGGTACTGAAACACTATCTCTTCATCTGTGGGTTCGAATCTGAATCCCGGTGGCAATTTTATAGCTCTGTTTTCCATCATGCTCTCTAAGTATATTCTTCTATTCAAACTTTATATATATATATATATATATATACATGTGTGCCTCTGTCAACTTGAATGACTTGAGCCAAACATGATAAATTCTGGTAATACATGGAGGGGAAGGATGGGATTGGTGGTTTAGAGCAAGAGATGGTTTCCTTTTATATGGATAAATCTATATGTATAGAGCGTGCACCACTTAAAAGTTCATAGAATAAGTTAAGAATTTTTGTAGTGTTACATTAATTTTTTGATAAAAGTTGTAAATAAAGAATCTATTAGGTGCCATGTAAAGTAAAAGTTTCAAATTATTATATTTATAATGAAATCTATGATTGTAAATCACGGTATCAGGTAACGTAACAGTATCGATCGTGGAGTATCAGTATTAGTAGCATCGGTCGGTACGTATCGAAAATCGAGTGTTGCAGTCGTGAAATTTTAAAAATCATTTCACAGGTTTTCCCGCAATTTATTTCCCTTACCGGTCTGAACTGGTAAGTATCAGCCCGTTGCAGCATGTGTAATAGTTTATACAACTGTTACAGACCGCTACAAATTTGGACTCGGCCGATTTTTCAACGGTTTTTTATCTCAGCACTATACCGACCTATATTCATCGTAGTATTCTATTTTTCCGATACAAACCAGCCGTTATGTAACATATCGATTGGTTTTAGAACTAAGATGAAACCTCCCTGAGCTCTGTCAATGGGGAGCGCCTTTCTCAGTAAACACACGTGCCCTTATCTTTTTTTTTTTTTTTTGCCGTCGCTACCTCGTCGGCTCCGACGTTTTTTTTTTTTTTTTCTTTTTTTCGGTTTTAACTTTAACAGATGTGGCCTTATCTTAGAGCAGTTAGAATGTATTTTTCTTCCTTGGTAACATATTAACGTAAGAAAATGATTTCTTGTTTAGAATTCTTGTTATCATAGCAGGCATATTAATTTCTATTTGTAATATGGTTATTCTACCTATTGGGGGGAGAAAAAAAAATGTAAAATTGTTGCTGATATATATTTAATTCACTTGAACTAATATACAATTTACTTTATAATTAATTTTAGGAAAAAATCTATTTTACCTCCTTATAGTATGAATTGATAGCACTTTACCTTCTTATCTTTTAAAAATAGCCATATGTCCCTCATGTAGTTTTGGACTAAAACGAAATTGTTACTATATATATAAAATGACTATAATATACCTTCAGACGCTATATTTTGTTGTTATTTTCCTTCTCTCTTATCTCTCACTTATACATATAATTTATAATGTCTAGTATTACTTCAATTAAATCATAATTAATTATAAATTCTTAATTATTTATTGTAATTCTTAAATTTTTATTCTAATTTTAATTTAATTTAATTATATTTTAGATCACAATTAATCCTAAATATTTAACTATTTATCTTAATTACTAAATTTTTAATCTAGTTTTAATTTAATTATATTTTAGGTCACAATTAATCCTAAATTCTAAATTATTTATTATAATTTCTAGCATGTTAATCTAATTTTAATTTAATCACATTTTAGATCAATTCTTAATTATTGTTTAATTTGTATTTTACTTAATTATATTTTAAATCAATTCTTAATTACATTTTATATTTTAGATCAATTATTAATTATATTTTTATTTTATTTATTTTATTTTAATTAACATATTAATCCAATTTTAGGTTTGGATAAAATGGGGGTTAACTTTTTAGAAAACAAAACCCACTTTAAAAAATGGTGTGTGTAATAAATCTTCCATTAATTTGGATGGAAAAACTAACCGTAACGCTTTAATTCAAAATCACATGAGGTTTTTTTGGTTATATTTGAACGATAAGGGAATAAAGTGCTAAAGTCTAAAACCACAAAGGAATAAAATGAATTTAAACTATAATTTTATAATATAATTTGAAGAGGATGGGGAGTGGATTTTTGAACTTTTAATACTAATATTCATAAATATATCGATTGATATTCAAAAATCCGATATATATTATTAATCCGTATGATTCATATTGACCGATATTTAAAATCTTGGTGAGTCTAATGCAGTGATTTTACTGATCAACAATGCAAGATTTATATACAACCTACCGTGTTGTGAGCTTGGATGAGTTTTGTAACCTAATGCTAATATATATTTACTTAATAGGGCACATGGTTTGTTTGTACAAGTCAAAATTATACACTACTCTTCACGATATTCTTCTGATTCAATGGTACCATTTTTTTGTGATAGTGCATTTGCATAACAAATGATAAAATGGTCATTTACCATCAAGTTAAAAGGCAATGGTGTATTTTGTATTGTTAATGTAAAATGTAAATTGTAAAATGTAAACTACCACCCACCTACCACCTCCACTACCACTCACTCCACCTACCACCTCCACTACCACCTCCACCTACTACCATCTTCTCCTCTATATATATAGGAATTGTAATATACAGATAAATCAATCAATAATACATAATTCATTCTCTTTCTTTCTCTATCAATTTCTCTTACATGGTATCAGAGCCAAGTTAACAACCTAGTAATTTCGCTTCACCGGCGGGCGGCAGCCTCGCCCTGGCCGCCCGCCGGACGATGAGAAAACTAAGCACATAACATCTTCTCTCTGTCTCTCAACCAAGTCTTGAACCACACTGGTTAATCATATACAATAAGATGGCAAAAGGAGGCAAACTAACCAAGCTCAAGTCAGCAGCCGCTCCACCTACGGCGTCTCTGTCGCCGCCGCCGCCTCGTCCTCAACCCACTCTTCCTCCAACGATGACTACTCCTCCTCTTTCCACAACAACAACGACAAGATCTCCAAAGCCCTCCACCCTGTCTACGTCGGCAAGTCTCGCCGTCGCTACCTCGTCGGCTCCGACGTCGTTGACAACCCCGTCTTCCAGGAGCTCGTCGAGAGGTCCGGCGACAACGATGGATTCATGTTCCTCTCTCTCTCTCTGCACCTGGGCTCTCTCTCTTCTCGGTGGACCACCACCGCCGACCATGATCTGTGGAAGTTTGGACGCAACTGCACAGTCGGCTCGCATGTTTGTTGTTGATGGTGGTGACCACGGCTGCCTTGAAGAGCAGTGTGCGAACTGGAACACGTACTGCTGGTTTCTGGTTCGTGTAGCTGGTTTCTGGTCGCTGTGGATCACTGGTGTGTGAGTTTGGTCACAGAAGCTGTAGCACATGACTTTAAGCTAAGGCTGTCCATCCTTCGTTGTTAGAAGGATCGGCTCAAGACAGTGTAGAAGTAAAAGTGTTTGAAGGAACCAAACCCAGCTCTCTTCTCTCTCTCTAGATTTCTAGGCTTCTCTCTCTCACACAATACTCACCCACGGCACTCACAGCAGACACACAAGACACACACCCACGGGATTGACAGACACACATGTGATGAAAACATTTTTTTTTTCTTTTTAAATCCACCCACTCCCTCTCTCTCTCTCCCTTTAAACCCTCTCTTTTCCTTTCTTTTTCTTTTACTATTGCCATCCACTACCTTTTGTTTTTCAAATCACGCCACCACTTTCTTTTTTTTTTATTCGTTTTCTTCTTCTCCAAATCCTCCTCATGTCCCCCACTTTCTCTCTTTATTTTTTTTTTTACTTTCCACCCACCGAGTCACATGCTTTCGCCATTACTATCTTATTATTCTTATTATTTTATCAAAACAAAAAAAACAAAAAAACAAAGACAAAAACAACAAAAATAGAAGAAGAAGACGACCTGCACACCGCTGTTTTTCTTATCACCCATCCACCAATATTTTTTTTTTCTCTCTTTCTTTATCCATTGTTTTCTTTTATTTTATTTTTTCTTATTCAAACAAACAACACCCACCAACTAACACCAACAACATTTCACAACCTTGTCCTTTTATTCATATCAGGGGATCAACCGCCATCACACTTTTACATAAAAAAAAAAAAAAAAAAAACAAACAAACAAAAAAAACAAAAACAAAAAAAAACAAAAAAAAACAAAACAACCTCATCCACAGGCGAGATTTTTCTTCTCTACTCTGCCGCCGGTCTTTTCTTCTTGCCTCCGTCCTGGGCGGCCCTTGCCAGTGTTGCCTCCGTGTTTCCCACTCCACTGGGCACGATCACTCCACCCTGCCCCTCCACTGCAGCATATGGTGGACCTCCAAATCGGAACATCACGGTGGCCTTCCGCTTCAGCTCCTTGTTTTCCGCCTTTAGCACACTTATCTCTGCTCGCGCATCCTTATACATGCGTTGGAGCAGAGCCAGCTGGGCGTTTAGCTGCTGCATCTCATTTGTCCTACTCTGCAGCCGGTGCGACAAGTTTGTGACCGCCGTCATGGTCTCCACACATGACTTCAAAGTATACTGATTGGCCTCCACATCCGATTGCACTGCCATTTTTTGCTCCACCGACCGCATCGGAAAGTTCAACGGAGAAAAACCGGAAGCGCTTGGTTGAGTTTCACTAGCCACCGCACCCGTTATCTCTCTTGTTGACTCGTTGAGGTCGGGAAAGAGAGTCAGCAGACCACGGGACGACGAAGCCATCTCTCGCAACAGAGTGTTACATACTATCTCTCTCAGCACAATGAAGCGTTTTTCAGAGGATTTCGCAGGTTTTTTGCCTCTGCCTCGGCCTCAGGCTCCGTCTTGGTTAAATAGCCGAGGCAGCCACGCGCATCACGCGCCACTTGACGCCAGACGACAAACGGGCGCGCCAGTCAAGGCACTCACGTGCCTCGCCATCATATCTGGCACGCCTTTTTATGGATTGGGCACGCCTTTTGATGGCACGCCTTTTGAAAGATTGGGCACACCTTTTGAGGGCACGACTTTTGAGGGCTCGATATCTACATCCATGTATATTGCTTGTTGAGGAAAACCGCGATGGAGCTTCAAGGAAGTGGCTTTACCAAAATTTGGTGGTACCCCTAGTCTTTCTCTATTGTAATAGTCATGGTTGTTAGAATCGTACAATTCACAATTCAATACAAGTTTCAACAAAAACCAATTTGAATCGTTTTGTTGCAACAGAAATTAAATGGGTGCGACTTTTTATGGGTCCGACAAGACTCTGTAAACTGTCCCGACATTGATTCCGGTTAGCTGCTACATCGGTCCGACATGACCCCGTAAACTGTC